AGTTGGACCGTTGACTGGAGTTGACTTTCGTTGACTTTTAGGGTTGGTCAACATTTGGATAATTGGACCATTGGAGGGGTAAAATGGTCTTTTTCCCTTCTGGGAGATTATAGGAAGGGATTAGTCTAGCCTATGAGAATCGTTGTTAATTAGAGATAAATTACTTAATGTGATTAGGCGGATGCTAGATCGGGGATATCGAACACGAGAGTTTACTAGACATCATACGAGGTGAGTCTTCTCACTATACCTTACCTAGGGTGGTAATTATGTGTGATCGGAAGGTCTTATGTGCTATGACGAGTATGTGATATATGTTTCTATGTGATATGTATATGTTATGTATGTATTGAGTAAGAATGGTATGGACCGGAAGATCAGTATGGTATGGACCGGAAGGTCAACAGAGTATAGACCGGAAGGTCAGCAGTGTATGGACCGGAAGGTCAATATGGTATGGACCGGAAGGTCTACTCAGTTTGTGGGACCGGAAGGCCTCTGAGACATATTGACCGGAAGGTCTCGTAGAGCTACAGTCTCGAGTGGCTTATGTGTTGTATGTAGTATTTTGAGGAACTCACTAAGCATGCATGCTTACCGTTTATGTGATATGTGTTTCAGGTACTTCAGAGGACTGCGGGAAGGCACCGGCATGATTGTACACACACACTATGTTTTGGGAAGAGCTGCTGGGGATCCTGGATTTTATGAGATGATTTTGAAAACTTTGTTAAATGAATAATTGGTGTTGAACAATATGATATATGTTTTTATGAATTAAAAATGAAAATTTTGGTTTGAATTTTCACGATGTTACAATCGTTGATCATCTTATTCATTCTAGTAACCTAGGGTTTACATTTCCCTTAAAATCCAAAAATGATATGTTGATTAGGAGTTAAATTGAGTTTCTAGTTTAGATTCTTTCAATAGTTAATCATTTTGTCAACAACATCCTTTAAAGTTGTTTGATTTCAATATCATAAGTAGTTTTGGAAGCTTGCAAACCTTAAATCGGTGAAATGTTGATTGGAAGCTTTAGATCATGAATTTAATGTTATTCTAAATTAGAAATGAGTTTCCTAATCTCGAATGAGGTTAACTAATCCATAATATGTGACTAATAACTTCTAATTTGCCATTGTAGTAATTTCAAGCTAAACTTTGGACTTTATGAGTTCATTTAATGATTTTAAATCCAGATTTGCTTTTGGATGGATTTGAGTAGTTGGATTATCAATCTAATTCATTAATATAGTTTAAACTTATCAAATGGAGTCATTATTTTAGGAGCTATTTGCATTTATAAAGGATTAAAGATTGTATTGAAGTTTATGAACTCATTTAGAGAAAAAGTTGAATTTAAACCTCTGGATCTCTATTTTGTCCTATAAATCATTGGACCGGTGGTGAATTGTGATGTTTTAGTGACTAAAACATGTGCTCGAAGTTGTGCAAACATGTAGTTTTACTCAACTGAGTGGATTTACTAGCTCAAATTCACTCAACCGACTAATGTCCTGACTTCACATAAATGAACTTTTTCTATCCTTTTTCACTTTGATTGCTTCCATTACTTTCCATAAGATTAATTATGATGGAAAATCTATTTTGCGTGTGTAACTTCAGTTTAGATATCTAGAATGTAATTAGTCATTAATTACTTAAATTGATGTTAATTTTAGGTGACCACTAAGTGTCTAATCCAAACTAGGATTGAAGTGTTGTGTCTACACTTGTTAAGGTGAGTGTTTATTCAATAATACAAGTTTGTATAATACTTTAATAAAAATAAAAGTGTTTTTTTCTCTATGAAACCCTATTTCTAAGTTATACGAGTGCTATAAGTATGTTTGTACATTCATAAATGTATTTTAAAAATATTTTAATTTAAATGGGATTTTTTGATATTTTGAACTTGGTTTTGATAGTGAATGTACATCCACTTAGGATGGATTAAGAGTTAAAGACTACATTCATAGGTAACCAATTTTGAACGTTAGAGTTAGTGACTACATTCTAAAAGGACTCACATGCACTAGGGATTTGTAACCTCTTAAGTAGCACGAGGGTGATGGCTTCCAAAAACCTAGTTTTGATGGGTATGAGAACTGCGACATTTCACACGGTGTCATAGGGTATGAGAAGTGTGTTGTATGCTAGCGTCTATCCTCACACATATAACATCCTTAAAATTCAGTTTAAGATGTTATAATAAGTTAATGTAATGGCTTAGGTGTTTGTTTTTTGTCTGTAGATCTTTTTGGCCTCTTCTGTTTGTTTTTTTGAAGACTGCAGGCCTAAAAATGTTTGTGCGTCCTCTTTTTGGCACAAATGTGGATCATAGTCTTCTAACATCTTCTAGCCTAAAAAACACATATATCTTTATTTTTTTAGTTTTTTTTTAAATTTATATTTAATCCAACTTTATTAATGATAAACAATTTGAAAAAAACAAGTTACAATACTTTTAAAAAAAGTTCGACGACACAAACATGACATTTTTAATAAATTTATAAATATAGATTTATTACAATAATGGTCGTTGAAATTATTTATATAAATATATAAAAAAAATCATTATATATTCTTATGTTTTTTATGCCAAATTTTATAAAACATTATTTAATACAGTATCATCAATTTCTTGGGAAAATATTTATTATACGTTTTTAATTGATTTAATTGAAAAAATCGAAGTTTATTTCCATCCATTTATATGTCAAATTCTTTGATTCTTAATTACAATGTTTATGTATAACTTTACGACCAAAATTGTTGGTTTTTATCAAATATATATGTTAATTCGTATCATTTTATTTTCACTTTTTATACAATAATGCATAAAAGTTGATCTAGATTTGTTAATTATTTATAACAAAGTCATAAAAATATTAAATAATCACTTTGAAGTTTAAAAAAATCAATTTATTTAGATTTTAGTAGCTTGTAGATGTTAAAAAAACCATCAGTCTTCTTTTTTCAGACTGCAGACGTTTGGTCTACCTCTTCTACTGCAGAAATTTACAAATGTGATCCACAGACTGCAGACATTTTGCACCAGAAAAAATAAACAACACCTTATACTTCTTCTGTATTTTGAAACTGTACTTACGAAAAAAATACAAAAATGAAAAGCATGTCTCTTATGTTAACATTGATTGTTAGAGTTTGTGGCATGAGGTCAACTCTTCATGTTAACAGTTAGAGTTAGAATGTAACTGATTATGTTAGAGAAAGACCATGTCACCAACTTGTTTGTTAAAGATAGTTAAGAGTTTTCTTTCTTCTTTTGATCACAACATATATTGAAGTAAGAAATAAGATGAAGAATTAATTTATCGGTTCTCTTTCATTCTTGATTCTCGTTTTGTCTTTTCCAAACCCTACAATTATTAAAGTTACATACTTACATATATTTATAATTTTTGCCCTTTGTTCTTGAATATTCTGACTCCCTTAGCAAATGGAGTTTTGCTCAAATATGACAATCTCGATTCATATATATAAAAATAAATCAAATATCTTCTGAACTTTTACATAAGCTTCATTTTAACCAATTACCCCAACCAAAATATTTTTATATGCACTAATATCTTCTGAAATTCCCATGCATGAATCTGAACATTTTTTAAATTTTGTAATAATTAACCAACTATAACTTACTACTTTGTCAAAAATATTATGTTAATTCGTTTGAGATTTCATATTCTTTTTTTTCTTTTACTGAAAACGTTTGCAGTCTCATTTCCGATCATGAAGTTATTGAATTTCACAAGTAACTGGTTACTTGCAAGTTAGCTAGATCCATTTCCAATTATTAAGAATTGGATTCGTTAATAGTTTATACAACATTACTTGTTACATACCTGATATAATATATTAAAGATATACGATATTTATTCTTGGGAAAAAAATCTTGGTCGTTAATGACTGTTACACGATATTTGATCGGATGATTATGATCAACAAATGTCTTTTTAATTTTATCTTACTTAAAGTTATCTAAATATAGTTGAATATGAATTAAATATTTTTTATCAAATTATCTAATACACAAAACATATTATAGCTAAATTTCCCGATTACAACAAACCTCTCTCAAGTATGACTAATGACACATGCTATTCATTTATTATAGACAAAATTTCATGATTGATTACTGTGACTCTAAATAGTTTCACTCAACTATCCGACCCTGTCTACTTTGACCCATACTACCCAACTCATGAGTCACACATTTATTTTGCCACCTCTAACGTTATTGATTGAAAACACAACATGTGAACCAAAAATGAAATTACTAACACCAAATTACTGCTTCTCCCATCAATTCCTAAGTAAAGTTTACTTAGTGGTTACTTTGAATTGAAACCAAAGCTTAGTTATGTTTAGGAGATATAATAAGGGTATGATATCATTTAGAGTCCAAATAACCCCCCTTTAAGCGTGAAAGGTGGTGTGTGGAGTATAAAACTGCAAAGATCCATGTGATTTGTAAATGGTTGCTTTTTCCCGACTTTAATCAGCCCGTACTTAACCATTTTACAACACACATTCAGCCGTATATTTCGTAATCCATATTTTAAGCAAGACATTTGCGTTTACCAGATTAATTACACATGTCATGTCAACATAACCATTTCTAAACTTTACTATGGGTCACAAAATTGATTTGCACTAACCAATTATATTTTTATCTAGATAATAAATTTATGAATATGATTACAAAAATTTATATTATTTGAAATAATAATATATTCTTTTAACAAATAAAACAATTTAAATTATTACAATATGTTATTGACGGCATTACACCCGTTTAACGGATTTTCCTTTTGACAATTCTTTTTTCATATAAATGGACTGAAATCTACATCTCTAAATAAGAGACTAAGTTGAAAATATTTTATTAACATTGCAATGACCAAGTATAACGATATACATGATATACAAGTTAAACCGATAGATTTGTAGGCTACAGAGCCATCAGTTAAAAAACCTATATAACGTGTGCAAGTGTGTATTCATTGTAGTTTTTTTGGTGTAAAAATAATACGTAGCAAAGAAAACTTCTAATAATAATGCATACCTTAAATAAAAAGATCGTGCAAGAGACCATACAAGAATCCGAGCGTAATCGCTCTAGTCATTTTGTATTCTCATCTTATAGCTCTATATATACCGTAATTATTGGTCTTATAAATTATCACATTCTTAAAGGTGGAAGTATTTGTACACAATGTTGGGCATTGTACTTTATGACAAAGTTACGAATCAGTAATTCAATTGGTTTCTTTAAGTGGTAGCAATAGCATTGTGTAGAAAATTATAGAAACTAATAAAATAACACCTATATAGCTTCACCTTAAAGCACGTATATATATGTGAGTGTGAGTTTATTGTATATATAAATACATGCACACACATGAACATGAGAGTACGGACACATTACTGAGAACTAATTGTTGGTTACATATGATATCTTGTCAGATTACCAGAATGGTGAGAGCCTTCTTTCATTTTCAAAGTCTTTTTGCAGATTCTTAAACCAATACAAAAAAAAGAAACTAACCAGGTTTTGGAACAGGGAGTGTTTTGTCTTTTTGTAGGCATTAAATATGGTAAAATTATTTGGCAGTAATTGTGATCCTCACATATAAAGATGCATACTCAGTTTTACTAAAAGTGAAGTTATTCATGCAGGTTCATTTGGTGACATTGATTGTGGTCTTGCTAACATGCATGCTTTCATTTATCTCGTGTGCTACTGGTGTCACAAAAGTCAGTCTTGCATCCACCACCATTTTTAACGTGATGGCATATGGCGCTAAAGGAAACGGGAAAACCGACGACTCACCGGTACTCAAACTCCTTCTATATAGTTCTAGATTGTACATTAAGCTTGTACTGTTATCACACAGATCAGGACATGACATGACATGACAGAACAAAACAGAGTCTTGTACTTTGTTTGACGTGCATTGGACTGGGACTGATGTTACGGGACAAAAATTGCAACTTTTCGTCCCGATCTCTCGTCTGTGCAAAAGACGTAAATACCCTTCTCATGTAACAAACGAATGACAGTTGTATGGTACAAGTTTATAAAGCAGATTATACATATACAGGCTTTTGCGAATGCATGGAAAGCGGCATGTCAATCGAAACCAAATAAAAAGAGTATATTAGTGATACCAGCAGGGAGGACGTTTTTTTTGAAGCCTATGGATTTCAATGGTCCATGCAACCCCTCCAGTATCTTTATCCAGGTAAGTATATGCATATAGCTATAGATAAATTTGGTCAAAGTCAAACAACATGCATTTATGCTAAAAAACATAACATAGTAATTCCCAAAAAGGAATCATGTATGTGACTATCTAAAAATAAAAAGACACATTATAATCACATGATCTTTAAAACTGTCAAAAACAGGTGTCAGGAAACATTGTTGCTCCAACCAAAAAAACCGATTGGTTTGGCCATCATGTTGACACGTGGCTATCTTTTAATACCGTGAATGGTCTTACAGTCAGTGGAAATGGGAAAATAGATGGAAATGGACGTATTTGGTGGACAAATGCCTGCATTGGTTCTCCACTACCAGTAAGTTAATTATTTATGTATTTTATTTTTCTAATTTTTATCTCATATAAGATAAAAATTCTTACATATTATTATTCCACTTAATTTCAGGGTACAACTTGCCGTGCACCAGTGGTAAGTAACCATTATCCAGGGTACAACTTGTAATGCACAAGCACTGCAAGTAGCAAAGTAATCAACTAACCATCATTATTTTTTTAAAAACTTTAGGCAATACAGTTTAAAAAATGCAACAGTTTGCGACTGAATGGGTTAACACATGTAAATAGTCCACGAGTTCATCTCTTAATGACCAAATGCAATGGTGTTATTTTTTCTAATTTAAAAATCATCGCCCCTCAAACAAGCCCCAACACTGACGGCATCAATATCGCAAGTTCCACCAATGTCAACATACGTGACTCCGTTATCGGAACAGGTATTTCCATTTTTACCCTTTTTTTTCCAAATTCGCTCGTTTTTTTTTTTCAAAAATATCAATTTTTTTCAAACCCGCTTTTTAGGAGATGACTGTATTGCTATTAGTGGAGGTTCATCTAATATCAAAATTAGCGGGATCATGTGTGGGCCAGGCCATGGAATCAGGTAGCTTATACACATTTTGAAACTTATAACATAAATAATTAAATAAAATCATTAATTCATTACATACAAAGCACAAAATCTATATATATATATATATATATATATATATATATATATATATATATATATATATATATATATATATATATATATATATACCTTTTTGTGTAGCATTGGATCATTGGGACATGGGGGATTCGATGTGGTGGAAAATGTAGATGTGCGAAACTGTACCATGAAAAAAACCCTAGCTGGAGTAAGGATCAAATCTTATCAGGTAAGGATTCCTTTTTGGACTATAACTGAAAAAAAAAAGCGTAAATACAGGGACCCTTTTTAACTTTCTTTTTTTTTCAACAGGGAGGAACTGGTTATGCAAAGAAGATCTCATTTTCAGGCATTAAGTTTGATGCAGTTTGGAACCCTATCATGATTGACCAATACTACTGTCCCACTCAGAAAGATTGCCTAACCTCAGTAAGTATCAGTGTCAATCTATAAATAGTAACTTAGATATTGAATGAAAGTTGTTTCCATTTCCAACCCTTAAAATCTAAATCATTAACACTTTTCTTTATGTGACAAAGACAACAGCTGTGAAGTTGAGTGACATAACATTCAGAGGAATCGCAGGGACATCAAACATGGACAATGTAATAAACATAAGTTGCAGTAAAAGTGTTGCATGCACAAATATTGTGGTGGATAGTGTGTATATCAAGTCAGCAATTCCAGGAAGAAAGGTTTATGGGACTTGTATTAATGCCCATGGAAGAGCTAGCCATGTTAAACCTTCATTAAAATGCCTACAACCTTAGACCAACATTTATTTGTTATTCCCCCCTATTTGTCAATTGTCATTTGTATGCTTACTTTAACCTTTTGTAATAACATATGAGCTCCTTCTGATAATGAACATCTTTTATTTCAGTAGTACATAAGAAGTTACCTTAGAATGAGTACCTTAAATTTCACAGGACTCTGAACGACCAAATACTGCGTAACGGTTGTCCGCAATGTTTTCATACACAAAATTCCTAATGAATCTGCAGGAAAAGGGGAAAATTTAAGAATGAATAGAAGATTAATCAAATTGCATTCATTAGTAAAAGAGAGAAATGAGAGATCAGTGAGGAAAAGGTCTTACAAAGGTACAAACTGGAGAAAGAAAGCTAGTTGGGGAAATGGCAAGTCTATGTACTCCATGATCTTCAACACAGCCTCTGACTTAATATATGACCTGAAACACACCAGAGTCCTTACTTAATTACCTATGCAATCTCAAGGTTGATGAACAATATGCTACAGTAATAGCAGGATTGGTGTATGACTTTACCTGTTCTTCTCTACAAGTACAACACTTGAAATATCATCAGGAGATCTTCCAGATCTCTGTAGTAGATTCTTTCCTGCATCGCTTTGTAGGGCTTCAAACCTTATTCTCCTGAAAACGAAGGCACACCATTGAATCAAAACTGATTTGTTTTGGTATAATTTAACTGAATCAGAAGGATATGAATAGAAACCTTTGTCGGTCATTATCACGTACAAACTTGACGCCTCCATTACATAAGTTGCAGACACCTAGCAAAATTGAACAGCTTGTTTTACGTGGTCACATACAAACAACGCTGCACATTATCATCTATCACAGGCACGACTAATAGATGATTGCATATATCAAAACTATCGCATGATTTCTGTAGATCATGTGATATTTCAGAGAGCGTTTCAAATTATGAAGTGTTCTTGCTTCCACGTTAGTAATACACGAAACAATTACACAAACTTCATTTAAATTAGTGCGTCTATCATCAAACCCGCACGATTAATCATTTTGGGCAAAAAGTTATGCAAACCTAAGTTATTACAGATGCAGAGACTGTAAATTTTAAAGGCTGTTGAAAATAAATACATAATTCGTGAAACAAAGCATCGTTGATCGTAAATAGGTGTTATTATTACCGTCAAATAGCATGATAGGCCTGGTATCTTGTTCGAAGAAGCTTGATGTCGCATCCACCCAATCCACCGCTTCGACACTGCGCGGCGGAGAAGATAAGTTGGCTAGAACTGCAGATCGGCGGCGACCGGCGATTCTGACGCGTACGATTGGAGGTAGCACGCTAAGCCGTGCGCTGCTAGCAGCAAGAGTAGGAGCTGCAGGAGGAATGAGCGCCATTTCTGTTACTTACAGTTCCACGAATGACGAAATTCATTTATGTAATTCTTGAGATACTCTGATTATATTTGTGGGTCTTGAAATGTCCACGTGGAGTTTCAATAAACTAGGATTGTGGAATTCAGAAGTTGTTCAAAAGCTTTCTTTGACAATTAACAGATTTATTAATTTACCCGTCTGTTTCATTTCGTTGTTATAAAATTTCGTTACACCAGTTCGTTTTAAAATTAATATTACCAGTTTAACATTAAAACAGTTACAATATGCATATAGTTGATGTTTTCTCTTTGATCTTCTCTTTATAAATAGAAGTAGAGTCCTCAAATGTCCATTAACATCATGTTAATATGGTCTCAAGACTACTTTTAATTACTCTATGCATATTGAAAGCACCACTTTTCCCCACATTTATAGACAACCATTGGACATCTATTTATAGATCTCTGTGAGAGATCGTGTTAACAAACACATTGTAGTGGAATATATTATATATAAAGGGGTATACTTTATGTCTAACTAAACATCTTTATATAATTATATCTAATCTAACATCTCATTATCATTCATAATATATTAATAAAAGAATATATTTTATAAGTGTGGGGTATAAATATTGAATACATGAGGTGATTTTAAAATCACCCTTCAAAATTCATCGGTAGTTGTCTTGATCACTTTGATGTTTACTATTAGTGGGTTGTGTCAGTTTTTACTTTGTTTACTATTTGTGGGTTCTATTTTTTTAGTGGCTTTTTGCATGGAATAGTAGGTTTTGGATAAGAAAATATCGTTATAAAGTTATCTATTGTTAAATGTCACTACCTTCCATTTTAAGAATTTTCTTTTTCTTAAAACTACAGTTCTGCAATGTTGATATTGAATTTTTTTTTTTTTTTTTGGAGTTAATGATTTAAACTCTTCATGCCAACAATTTGTTTGACCTTTTTAGAATATAAGAGTTTTGTGTAGAAAGTCAGACAGCATAGATACATAAGGGTAAGATGACAAAAACAATAATGCAAATTTAGTTAGAAGATCAAACAGAAAAAACAATCTTAATACCACAAAAAGCTGAAAACAACTCCATATAGAAATCACACATACATTCTATTATTCTCTCTTTCAGTTCTGCTCTTCTGCATATCCCAATTCCCTCTCCTCTTGTGCAGCAGCCATTAACTCATCAAAGTTTTCTGTCTTCCCCAATACTATTTCAATCTGAACATACAATTTTCAAAACAATCAATTATCAACAGAATAATCAAATCACTGGAAATTTTACATTTTTACCTTGGCCTTTTGGACAGGTCTTCCCCTGGATTCCCCCTTCATCTCTACAGTTGATGTCATTATTTCTGCATATACACATGCCAAAAGTGTAATCAAACAACTTTATAAATCTACATTTGTCTGTAGTATACTTCTGTATCAGTTATAACTTATAACTCACTCTTTTCTACAGCGAATCCATTGTTCTTCAAGATTTCTGCCACTGTTACAACGGTTGCAATTGCTGCAAAAATGGTGTTATTGTAAGGAGGGGTACTTTGAAAAACGAAAAGGAGATTAATAATGGGCAAATTGAAGTGATAATCAATGCTCCCATCCTCCCTTCAGCAAATTTTGTAAAACAAACCATGGCATGTAATAGAAGCTTTAAACTTTAGAGATTCCAGAATTATTAAGCTTCAAACGAGAATAAAAATGGCAAAACATGGAAGTAGATAAAGCAATACCCATTCCAAGCGCTGAAAGTTCCACCTCGTTATGCTGCTGCATATACCTCTGATGTACAATCAAAAGGACAAAAAAATGGTTATAAATTTACAAATTAAACCGTATAAAAACCCTAAATACAGAGCAACATGACGCAAACGGTTATGTCAATAAAGACTGATCAACGAAGATTGCGTACAAGAAATATATTCGAAGTGGAAATCAAATCAAAAGGAAGGGTAGAGGGTTTCTGATAGGAATTAATGGAGTTACCTTGGCAAGATTGACGTAGAAGAATAGAGGCTTCTTGGTGTTGGAAACTTGAATTCGGTTTTTCTTGTAAGAATCGGAGGACATGTTTATGTTGCTTACTCCATCTGTTATCTCTTCCATGATCGAATTTGAACTCAGAAAAACCCTAATCGTGATACGATCCAACCACAGCCGCAGAGAGAGGTCGAAACAGATAAATGAACCCTGGACGGAACTCAAACAGTTTAACGGATTACAGTCTAGAACCACACGGATTGTTTTACGGTAAAAAGTTTCAATTTTATTAATAAAAAAATTATAAATTTAGCTTTTAATTTGATTTTTTGTCTATAATAATATGATTGAAAAAACTATTTCTCATTCTAATATATTTTCAAAAATATTTAACATATTAGTATTTTTTTCATTTTTTTAACTTTTTTTTTTTTTTTTTTTTTTTTAAAATATATCCAACTTTTCTCCATTTCTCTTTTATTTTACATTTTACGGTTTTATTTTTTTAAATTTAAATTTTTACATTTTTTTAAATAAAAATTTTTATTTATATTTTTAATTTTTGTTTTTTATTTTAAATATCTATTTTTTATACATACAATTTTTTAGCCATCATAAAATTAAACATACAATATATTTTAAGATGCAAAAACTCCAACATTACACATACAATGTTTTTAAGATAAAAAACACTCAACATTGTTTGTTAAATATAAAAAATAAAAATAAAAATAAAAAACTCCAATATTGTTTGTTACAAAAAGAAAAACATCACAATTTGCTTGAACTTGAACCGGTAACAAATCCTTACTTATAAAAAAGATTAAAAAATAAATAAATAAATTAAGAGAATAGCCACAACAATACCATAAAAAAATATTATCTTTTTAATTATCTTGGCTTAGACGGACATTGTTTTCGATTATGACCCGATTGCATATAAACTCCACAAATAGTGGCATTTCTTATTCTTTAATATTCATACCATTTTTTAATCTTGTTGAACGAGGACGACCTTTTTTATTTCGTAATAGTTCTAAATTTAAAAGTAATGCATTAAATGGTGATTGTGGCCAATACGCTTCATGAAAGCGGGGAGAACTCGGATGCTCAAGTAGCACAATAATATACAATCGTGTAGCATTTATCAAGATATTGCCAACTATTCAAAGAGAGTTTGGCACGTGCATTCAAGACATGAGAACAAGGATATTTAAATGTCTCCCACTTACCACCTGTGCAAGTTTTTTGTTCCAAATTAACTACTTGCACATTTCGACCTCTTTAAGTTATCAACTCAAATATACATTTTTCTCAGTTAAATATCTTAATGAATGTGCACTTGTTCTTGCCATCAAAACTACTTGTTTTGTAACAGCATGTGGAGTATGTGCATCTCCATTAGCTTGAGAACTAGATCCTAAATGACGTCTCATCTCAAAATAATGCACCATTTTATAGAATGTAAGTTGCACACAAGTTGTAATTGGTAAAAAAACGAGCACCTTTAAGTACACTGTTGAAAATCTCTGACAATTTTGTTGTGAGTAACCCATATCTCCTTCCACCATCGCGTAAAATCATTCTTACTCGTTAATTGCTTCACAATCTAATTGTCATCAATATTCAAATTTGTTCCTTCCATATTAGTAAAAGTTGAAGGTACTTGAACATTGTTGTCGAAAGGTGCTTGTTCATCATTTTCATCTCTAATTCCATCTTCCAAATTTTCATTTAACTCAAGTTTATTATCTATATTCATCACATTAGTTACAACAGCGGCTTGAGAGATTATAGAAAAATTATCATTGTCAATCATGTTTATAATAGAATTTATCTACAAAACAAATAAATACAAACAAAAACTAATCAAAAACTGATCATATCATCTATGACAACAAGAAAAAAGAAACATAAACAAAGAATCAAAATCAAGAAAGAATCAAAAATTACAATCAATTCCATTTAAAAAAACATAAAAAAACAAGTTGTGATAAAATCTATCTACAAAAAAAAATCAAACAGAAGCAAAAATTGATCATCAATTCGGTGGAAAGGGATCAGAATCAAGAAAGAATCAGAATGGAACGAATTAAACAGAAAAAAACGAGCAGAAAAAGAGGTTGCATACCTTGAAACCGACGACAGGTTATGGAGCCGGTAGGTGGTCGGCGACGGGTAGAGGAGGCCGCAGGTGGCCGACGATAGGTAGAGGAAGCCGTAGGTGGTCGGCGATGGGCGGAGGAAGTTGTTGGCCGAAGAACGACGATTATAGCCTTAGTTTTCGATTTTTTTTCTGTTTTGTTGTTTCATTCTATGAGGCATGGACAAACTTTTTTTTAAAAAAAAAAAGACAATAATATTAGTTTTAAATTTAGAATAATACTAATAAGGTAAATATTTTTGAATGTATACTAGAATGGGAAATAGTTTTTGTAACGACTCAAAAATCAAGGGTAAAATTTTCATTTTTATTATGGCGGCGTGAGGTGGCAGCCACCATCTCACGGTGGTGGTGATAGGTTTTTTAGGCCAAAATAACAACATACATACAACAAAATCTCCAAAATAAACACACACAATAAAATACACACACACTCATCCACCCTTGTGGCGGCAGGCGGTGGTTGAGGATGACAGCCACCACCTCACGGTGGTAGTGGTGGTGGCTTTTCTCGTGAAGTCCGGCCAAGCAAACACACGCATATACATAGCTCGATCGTAGAAGCAACCCACATCAACATATGCTAAAAACAAAATGAACACCACCACCCACTTGGTGGCGTGCATCGGTCGGAGGGTGACTACGGGATGAAGTTGTCGCTGGAGCGGCGGCGGTGATCGTGACTGAGGCGTAGAAACAGGAGGAACAGGGGAAGGGAACGAGTGGGAACCATGGTGTAACATCCTGTTCTGGATTGTTTTGTGATTTAAGGCTCGTGGGCCTTAATCCGAGTATGAGAAGGTTTTGAGGCTTTGAAAGAGAAAGGTTAGGCCATTTTGGGATGTGGGTGAGGTAGGCTGTGTGCTAAAAGAGTTCGGTTTGTGC